CTTCTCTTCTTCTTCTTCTTCTTCTTCTTCTTCTTCTTCTTCTTCTTCTTTTCTTCTTCTTCTTCTTCTTCTTCTTCTTCTTCTTCTTCTTCTTCTTCTGCTTCTTCTTCTTCTTCTTCTTCTTCTTCTTCTTCTTCTTCTTCTTCTTCTTCTTCTTCTTCTTCTTCTTCTTCTTCTTCTTCTTCTTCTTTTCTTCTTCTTCTTCTTCTTCTCTCTTCTTCTTCTTCTTCTTCTTCTTCTTCTTCTTCTTCTTCTTCTTCTTCTTCTTCTTCTTCTTCTTCTTTTCTTCCTCCTCCTCCTCCTCCTTCTCCTCCTCTTCTCTTTCTTCTTCTTCTTCTTCTTCTCTCTTCTCTCTTCTTCTTCTTCTTCTTCTTCTTCTTCTTCTTCTTCTTCTTCTTTCTTCTTCTTCTTCCTCTTCTTCTTCTTTCCTTCCTCCTCCTCCTTCCTCTTCTTTATCTTCTTTCTTCTTCTTCTTCTTCTTCTTCTTCTTCTTCTTCTTCTTCTTCTTCTTCTTCTTCTTCTGCTGCTGCTTCTTCTTCTTCTTCTTCTGCTTCTCCCCCCCCCCTTGCTCCTGCTCCTCACTCTGGCCCTTTTGTATCTCAAGGGAGGTAAACGTTTCTTGCTCTTGCACACCTGTCCGCGTCGACTATGTAGACATCTAACTGTTGTCCCAGTGTGTGGGTTCCGGGGCCCATTGTGGGGAAAAACAGAGTCGATTAATTGGGAGCTTCCTTCGAAGTCAGAGTACATCTGCTTGAGAGGCAAGGAATCAACAGTCTGCATACAAATGAGTCAGACCTGTAAAACGAATGTGCATGCAACACTCAGTTTCTGGAACAGAACTAGAGTCCTTAAGTGGACGAACAACCAGAACTCTCCGTCAGAGTTTACAGCCGGTGAACGCGAAAAAGAAGATCCAGCTGTCATATTTTGTAGGTGTCCGCCTGGCGCTTCGTGTTTCCTCTTCTCCTATGGTTTATGCCTTGTCCGGTTTAGCATCACAGGCCATTCTATGGTAGGCAACCGTCAGTCATTGTGGGCCATGGAGTTGTTCCTCTGTTCTTGGGAACAGCTTCTACTTTGACTGTAAGGTCCCGTGCTGGAGTTACAGTCAGTGAAACATAGTCCACATAAAAAACGTTATGTTCGTTCGGCGTTAGTCTCCCCCAATTGAGTAGGTCACTTTTCATTCACAAGTTTGTTGGGCTGGTCGACTTTCCTGAAAGTTTCTGCTATGTCTTGCCTTTACCAGTGTCTTCTTCTTCTTCTTCTTCTTCTTCTTCTTCTTCTTCTTCTTCTTCTTCTTCTTCTTCTTCTTCTTCTTCTTCTTCTTCTTCTTCTTCTTCTTCTTCTTCTTCTTCTTCTTCTTCTTCTTCTTCTTCTTCTTCTTCTTCTTCTTCTTCTTCTTCTTCTTCTGTGCGTGCTGAATATATGTGTCTGCGTGTGTTTATCTATGTGTTTGTATGTGTATGCATTTCTGCGTGTTTGTCTCTGTGGATGGTAGTATGCGTTTGTCTGCCTGTTTGTCTGTATTTGTGTGTGTGTGTGTGTGTGTGTGTGTGTTTGACTGCGTGTGTGTCTATGTGGCTGTATGTATGTGTCTGCATGTTTGTCTGTGTATATGTGGTGTGTGTGTCAGTGTGTGAGCACGAATGTAAATATGTGTGCTGTGTGTTTCCCTGTGTGTGTTTATATGTAAGTGTCTGTGTGTGTGTCTGTATTTTTGTCTGAGTGTGTGTGTCTCTGTGGGAGTGTCCGTGTGTGCATGTGTGTGTCTCCATGCATGACTGTATTTATGACTGTATGTGTGTATGCCTGTATGTTTGTATCTATGTATGTATGTTTGTGTGTACGTATGCCTGTGTGTATGCATGTTTGTATGTATGTGTGTATGTATGTGTGTGTGTAAGTGATTGGGTGAGCGTGTGTATGTGGGTGTATGTATGCACGCGCAGGTTTTTGCATGCACTTTACAACTCATTCTTTTGTGTTCTTTTATAATATTCATAATATGCATAACATCATATGATCATAACATGCTTTATTAGTAAAACACGACTGCTGTGCGAAAGATGGTTGACTGGAAGGCAATGTAAGACGGGCCTACGTGCCCAATTTGTGACCCTTTGAAAATAAAGTTCGTTCGTTCTTCTTCTTCTTCTTCTTATCCTCCTCCTCCTGCTTCTCCGTCTCATTCTCCTCCTCCTCCTTCTTCTTCTTCTTCTTCTGCATGAGAACCATTATCACACATGTGGAAACCACAGTCGCATGCACGAGAACCATTATCACACATGTGGAAACCAGTCTCATACATGAGAACCACTATCAATCACACATGTGGAAACCACAGTCTCATTCATGAGAACCATTATCACTCACAAGTATAAGAACCAATGTCACACACGTATGAGAACCCCTACCACACGTTCTTCTAAACTGATGACAACGGCAAGTTTACCGCGGGACAGTCGAGGGTTGTGCAGCCAGCCAGCCTGCGGACCGGGCTGCTGGTGTCTTGGGTCAGGCTGTGCATGTATTACGTCGTCCCTGTTGACCCTCCAGCGGGAATCTGGGAGACTTTGGCTTGATTCAACCGCCGGCGTAAGTGGGGGAAATCTAAAGTGGGTCATTGTGCTGGTGTTTTTAATTTATGAAGTTTGATTGCGTGCCTGTGTTTATCTGGGCTTCCAATGCTGGGGTTTCCCCCCAGATCTGGGTTTTTAAATAAGCCTTGGTAGTGCGCTTCTTGTTATTTTTTTTTTACATATATCCTTAAAAAAAGTGGTAAATATTTCGTTTCGTAATTATAAATTGTGTACATTTTAACAATCTGGGTTTTTTAAAATTTCGTTTCTGTTAATTGCTTGGGTTTTTTGTTCAGCTTAGCTAGGTTTGAAAAAAAATCCCATTGGCAGCCCTGTACGGGCACAGTGTTTCCAGTGTGATGCTGGTGGGTGATCGCGGGCTCGTTTATATGTGTTTGGGGTCAAGAGTGTTGGTCTGGATTCCATCCATGATATCGAAATGATTGCACTGGGCAGAATGGAGTTGACGAACTTAACTAGGAGGCTTATTTAGCTTATCAAGAAAATATACAAACCGAACGAAAAGTTTATTAGCAAGCTTCACAATATAGCAAAACGTGAACGTTGCGGCTATGGAGCATTCATCAGCCTATACAAATCAAACTATACCACACAAATACACACAATCACTTAGCTGGTATCTCGAAGCAACAGGATCGATGATTTCTCAGCAGACTGCCGACACGCGTGGGCTAGGGGAATAAATACTCCCTGTAGAGTACCAGGGACCATAACTGGGGGAGGGGGGTGTGGGTATTTAAGAAATAAGTGTGAGGGTAGTTCAGTCCTCTAAGAGTTTACATGAAACTGTGCTGGCAATTCAGTCCGGAGGGTGTTAAAGTACCCAAAGTGTAAATATAACGATTCTCAAGGGACTTGCGGACTTTCACCCTATTTAGCTTATAACGACACCGAAGGATAATTCTTGTTCGCATTCACCAGCTGTAAACTCAGACAGAAAATTCTGGTTGTTCGTCCATTTCTGGACTGCAGTCCGGTTCCAGAACTTGAGTGTGGCATGTGCATTTGTTTGACAGATCTGACTAATTTGTATGCAGGCTGTTGGTTCCTTGCCTCTCAGGCAGATGCACTCTGACTCTGAAGAAAGCTCCCAATTAGTCGACTCTTGCGACATGCTTTTGGGTAGGCAGTGGGTCCATTCTTGTTTCCCCTATAAGCAGGGCCCCGGAACCCACACGGGGAACCAAAGGACAATGATGATTTTTGAAGTTTGACACGCGCGCATGTGTAAGCACACACTCATAATGGAAAAGACCAGACTCACCCATTCAAGCCCTCATGTGGTCACGGGAGGGAAAAAAGGAAAACCGGGAAGACCGAGAAAGACCCTCCGTAGAACCATTGTCATCATCACCATGGAAGGCTCAACCACTGACCTTATAAACATCCAAGAGGCTAAAACAGGTTGTACGTAACGAACCCCTAGACATCGAAAGCTATGACCTCTGCCCTATGCGCCGCCCCAAGCTCGAGGAAAGACTAGAAGTCTCTCAACCCGCTACCACCCCTTCCCCAGCGTGAGGAGAAGCTCTCTTTTTAAGTATTTATTTATAAAAATTTCATATTTCAAATATATATTTTTATATTTACTTACCATTAGACACTCTATAGCAATAATAGTAATTATTATTAGTAAGGCACATTTAAACAAGTCTAAAATGCAGCATAAAACAACCAGCTGCACACAAATAAGCCAGTAAAACAAATGTGCACACAAAAAATCAGGCCCTGGCACAAAGCTGAAGTCCCAGTGGATGAACATCCAAGACTTTCTGCAGGAGCTTACAACCGATGAACGAAGAAGAAAGAAAAAGAAATCAACTAACAACCAGGACTTTCCATTGGCGCTTACAGCAGGTGAACAAAGAAAAAGAAGAAGTTTAATTTACTGATGTTTAGGTTGTAATAGCAGTAAAAAGAAGAGAAACTCCACAGTGGAGCATTCACAGCTAGAGTCTAGCGGTCATCAGTAGAAGATCCTTCATTGACAATTGTTTCGGCCTGTTACCGTCATAAACATTCTTGGAAGGTGGGCCAACCTGTGTCATGACACCAGGCTCCAGTATTCCCTGCTGCGTTTTATCGGACTTGTACGGACAAGACGATGGTGAATCAACTGGTACTGTGGTGAGATTGGTTCTTTTGTTGGTGATGTATTGTCACTGCGGTAGCATATTGGCCACCTATCTTCACGGTAAAGCAAGATCTGTCGCACACAGCGCTGCCCCACACAGTAGGCGAATAACGTGGTTCAAGCAGGCTGTTGTGTTATTGTCAGACATGTCTTAGTTAGACTTAGCAGCAGGCGGAAAGACACTGATGGACGCTAATATAATATGTAATTAGTTTAAGTGTTGTTTGACAGGAACTAACAAGTTAACGTTTTCCCCACAGGAAAGAAATTTCCGGGGACTCCCTTCAAGGTGACAGTGAACACTGAGGATGAAAAACTGATGTCCAAGTGAGTTGAAACCGTCTGCTGGCCTTGTTTCCTTTCAGCTGTTTCCCTCCCATATTTTCTGCTTGTTACAGGGATGCAGATGTGAACAGTTCCCTGCCATGGTGCTCCAGGAGCAGTGCTCCAACTGGTCATCACATCTTTTTCTTTTTTGATTTCTGTCAGAAAACTTATATCAGGCAGTGAAAGCCTCTATGAAAGCTATGATGCAGTCCACATCCTTTTGTGTACTAAACAGCTTTGTCTTCATTATCGTTGGAATAGGCCAGATTGCATTTCTGTTGGCAGCAAACAGTTGACAGTGTTGGAGCACAAGCTCTGGGTTCAATCCCGGGGGTAGGCAGGAAAGCCACATTTTCTCCCAGATTTATGGTATTTACACTGGAATCAAGGCCGAAAGGTTGAGATATCCATAATACCGAGCCTAAGGGTTAACAACTCATGGCTTCTGGATACTAAAACAAACCAGGATCTTTTGTGATAGGTTTCAGTGGACGCGAAAGAAGAAGGACCTGTTAAAATTGTGTACTTTAATTAGGGCTCTTTCCATGTGTGGCTTCCGGGGTCCCATTTGGGGGGGGGGGGGGGATAGTTGAACTGCTGCCTCCCTAACAAGCATACCATAAGAATTGACTAAATAGAGGTTTTCTTCTGTGTCCTAGTGCATCTGCCTGAGGCAAGCAACCATGTGCATAAAAATAAGCAAGTTGTGTCAAATGGATGTGCACACACAAAACTCAAGTTCTGGAACAAGCCTAAAATCCAGAAGTGGACGAACAGCCAGAACTTTTTGCTGGAGTTTACAGCTGGTGAAGGCGAAGAAGAAGAAGGTTCTTGAACTGGAACATATTCACACTGGCTTTCAAGCTGATCTGTCTAATATGGGCTTCAGAACCTTTCTGGAAAGTAAAGATGACCAACTTGTTTTGACCATATTACCCATTGAGTGCTGACTGATGTAATAAAATACCAAATAAACCAACAGATAGAGATGAGGATCTTGATTTATGTCTATCATTATTAGTTGGCATACGTACCCTTTGATACCTTTTAAATGAGATTAAGTTCCAGCGGTTATTCCCTCAATGCAGCAATGCCAAGTTAATATTTAAGTTATTTTTTTTCCCCCCATAGACACACCCCCCCCCCCCCCCCCCCCCCCCCACTCATCATTTCCTTCCCCCCAAAATTAATAATGTATTTTTTCGTAGAACTATCGACATATAAATTATACAAATGCAATCTTTTACACATCACCTGCGCACAAGAACACATAAATTTAAAAAAACACCTGCACGACAACTAAATAATAATTTTGATTCTTATAGACCACCAAACAAATAAGTTATATTGACCAGTGATTCCCAAACTGTGCACCCCGGGGAGCCATGACCTCTTCCCAGGAGCGCCACGAAATATTCGAAGATACACGATTTTGTGTGTGTGTGGATCTCTTACATATGAGTAGTCATACTTTTACTAGGTTAGGGCGCCGTGGAACAATTTTAATTGAAAAAAAAAAGGCGCAGTGACTAGGAAAAGTTTGGGAAACACTGATATAGACTTTAGTAAAAACACCCAACAAATAACTAATGTTTGCTTTCATAACAGCATTTTACAAAATGACAAATATTTTATGGAGTCTTTCTTTGTCAGTTGAGATTAAAAAAACAAAAAATTCCTAAAAGTTATATAAATCTTATTGTGATGTGTGGAAGTGAATCATGGACAGTTGGTAGATTAGTGCAAAATTATTTGAAAGCTGCATTGTGGTTTTACAGACGAATGATGAGAATACCCTGGACAGATAAAAAGAGTAATGAGGATGTCTTGAAAGAAACTAACTCAGGAAGAGAACTGATTGTTCACATTAGAAAGAGACAGTCTGCATTCTTTGGTCTTGTGATGCGGAGAAAACTTGAGTATATCTTGACAGTTTGAAACTGGAGTGGATGAGAAGCAGAGGGACACTGAGAGAAAAGATGCTGGACAATTTGACATGGCCTGGAAGATCATCTGTGTCAGAGTTGATTAAAAGTACACCAGACAGAAAGTTGTGGATAGACATGACTACCAGCGCTACACAGCATCGACTTAATAAGAAAGAAGATACTTTCATAGCAGTGGCAAACTACTGAACGTAAATTTACGTAGAAAAACAAGAGCCCAAAAAATGCAGAGGTATGTCCTGCAGCATCCTGTAAAGGACACAAAGGGCCACACAGCTAACTTCTTATACTTTAAAAAACCCTAAATAAATATATCATCATCATCATAGAGAGGCACTTTTATCCTGTGCCCATCTTTGCTTGGGTTAGCCCCCTCCTCCTTCTTCCTGGTACCATGCCCTCTGCTATTGTTTTTTCCAATCCGCCATGGCGCTTGATGTGACCAAAATATTTTAGCTTCCGAGATGAGATGCTGGTTTTTTTTTTGATGTTTTAAAATGTCAGTATTTCTTTGTCCATTGCATTCTGAGAATCTTTTTGTAGCATTTCAGCTCAAAAGCCCCTATCTGCTTTCTTATGGATTGGGAGATAGTCCACGACTCACATCCGTATGTCGCTACAGTAAAGATGCATGCTTTCAAAATTATTATTTTGATTTCCTTGCAGGTGCGTAACGATAGACTTTTTAATACTGAATAAACTACGTACTTAAAAAAAAAATTTCTTAGACAGATCTATGGCATTGTGGTGCTGGGGTGTCTGTGGATTACCTACCTCCCCGGGCAGCAGCTAGAAATGCCCTGTACCAGTTCTAAAGGAAATATGGGTTGTGTTTCTGCCTTCCCCTTTAACACGTAGCTAAGGTGGGGCTCACAGTGTGCTCATTCCCCGCCACCAGATTGCCTGCAGGTTTCGCTGAGCTCTTCATGGCTCTAAGCATGGCCTAAGCATGAGTAGTTGGGGCAACTGGATCGTCACGTCCTGAGTCCCTGTGCCTTCACGATAGTTTCCGGTATTCAGGGGGGTTAGCATACTTGTTTCCATTCCTAAGTCTGTTCAGCACACCTCTGGCTCCTTCCCTCCCTCAGGGGGCAGTACGGTGTGGTGCACCGGTTTTATTATCGAGGTTTGCTCCTCTAGATCCATTGTGTTTTGCCTGGGGATTCGCACCCCCAGTTACCAGGACTACCTCAGGGAGGCTGTGACTCTTCGCCACGCACAATGGTCTTGAGGTAAGAGAGGGTTTGCTAGGTCAGATCTATTGATATACTCTTTCACAGACCGCCTCGAGATGATCTGGACTCTAAAGCCACTCTGACGATCGGAGGAAAGAAATTTGAATGTGATGCAAGTGATCTCGAACATCGGAGGTTCCTGGGCCGTGGGGCTTATGGCGTGGTGGAGGAGATGATACACAGACCCAGCAACACTATCCTTGCTGTGAAGGTATCTCAATGTTTGTCATTGTGTTTGTTTTGTCTTCTGTTTCTTCTTCCACCTCCTCATCTTCCTGTTGCTTCTTCTTCTTCTTCCACCTCCTCCTCTTCCTGTTGCTTCTTCTTCTTCTTCTTCTTCTTCTTCTTCTTCTTCTTCTTCTTCTTCTTCTTCTTTTTCTTCTTCCACCTCCTCCTCTTCCTGTTGCTTCTTCTTCTTCTTCTTCTGTTTGTTGCTTTGTCTTCTCCCCCCCTCCCCTTTTTTTCCTCCTCATTTTCTTCCTCCAGCTTTTTGTAATGGGTTGCATAAGGTTTTAATTTCTTTAAGGCTTTATTGATCTCATTCCATATTTTGCCTGGTCTTCCCCTTGCTATATGATTATATTTTTTCTTTGTGGCATTTGGTGTCAGGGCGTTCTTTTTATCTGTTGCTCTCTAATAAATTGTGAGACTGGTATGAACAGTTTTGTAATTATAGCATGCAACAACAATATTACTGTTTCACACAACTGAATAGAGTATTTGGGATTTGCTCCTGTTGGATTGGCATCCATCTTCTTCTTCTTCTTTGCGTTCACCAGCTGTAAACTCTGGTGGAAAGTTCTGGTTGCTCGTGCACTACTGAACTGCAGTCCTGCTCCAGAACCTGAGTGCTGCGTGTGCATCAGTTTTACAGATCTCATTCTCTTGAATACAGATTGCTGGTTCCTTGCCTCTCCGGCAGATGCACTCCGATTTCAAAGGAGGCTCCCCAATTAGTCGACTCTTACGACATGCTTTTGGGGAGGCAGTGGGTCTATTCTTGTTTTCCCCACAATGGGGCCCCGGAACCCACACGGGGAGGATTGGCATCCATGATTTGATTTGATCTGATTTGATTCAAGCGACATTACAGCACTCAGGGCATTCCCATAAGTGCTCTATCCCTATCTTCAGCAGCCAACGAAGAGTTCTGATACTAATGGTGCCAGTAGCATTCTGATTAAACGTCCATCTTGCCTTTCCTCTGAGCCTTGAGCATCTGCCAGAACCGTCTCGTCAATCCCCCCTGCATCAATCGATTGGCATCCAGAAAGTGTCAAATCTTCAGGAAGTGGTTTCAGAGAGGGAATTTAAATATATGTGTTAGAGTAATCTTCACTTGCTCATCACCTTCATGTGCTGTGCCAGTCCGATTAGCCATGGGGGTCAAAGTTTACTTCTTCTATGATCATCAGTCTCAGATAAGCTCTACCTCCCTTGTGGGTTTCGATGCTCAAAATAGACCCACAGCCATGCCCCCCCCCCCCCCCCTCTCCCAACAGTGTCTTGGGGAAGCTTCTGATTAAGGGTGTTTCCTTCAATGTGACATCTGCCTGGGGGAGCAAGGAACCAACAGTCTGCATACAAATGAGCCAGCTCTGAAAAACGGATGTGCATGCAAGACGCAAGTTCTGGATCCAGACCAAAGTCCAGGAGTGGACCAACAACCAGTACTTTCTGCTGGAGTTTGTAGCTGTTGAACATAAAGACTAAGATTATCCATTCCATCAGGTTCCAGTTTTAAAAAAATGTAGGTCAGGCCCCATTTGACAAATGCACCTCAAGGCCTTTAGTTGCTTTCTTTCGCTCTTTTTCTCTTCAAGCTCGCCAGTTGTCACAAACTTTTAAAAATGTATTTCTCCTTAAAACATGCAAAAAAATCTGGCTTGTTGACAGCAGTTGAATGGGACAGTCAGCAGTCAAGAACAGAAGGCTTGAAAAATGTTTTTTACTTTTTTTCCAGTCAAAGTTTACCAGTTGTTACTTTTTAAAAATTTAATTTAAAAAATCTAAAACTCTTCATAACGTGCTAAAAACAGTCTGGTTGTTTTACAAAAGTTTTTTTTCTGTAAACTGCAGTGGAAAGTTCTGATTGTTCATCCACCTCTGGACTTTAGACTTGTTGCAGAACATGAGTGTTGCATGCACATCCATTCAAAAAGATCTGACTGCAGACTGTTGGTTCCTTACCTGTCAGGCAGATGCACGCCGACTTTGAAGAAACCCCTAGTTAGTCGACTCTTAGGACATGCTTGTTGGGGAGGCAGTGGGTTTATTCTTGTTTTCCCAACAATGGAGCCCCGGAACCCACATGGGGAGAATTTTTAGCAGAGTCAGTAATCAAGAATGAAAGCTTGAAAAATGTTCTTTATAAACCTCGCTTTTTTTTCCCCATCAAGTTTGCTAGTTGCTGTTATTAAATATATACCTTCTCTTAATATGCTAACAAAAATCTGGTATGTTCACAGCGGTTGAATGCGACAGTCAATAATCAAGAACAAAAGCGTCTGCTTATGGATTTAGACATCAACATGAGAAGCGGGTCCTGCGAATACACAGTTGAATTTTATGGAGCTTTGTTTAGGGAGGTGAGTGACTGGTGTGTTCTTAAAATCTACTCGATGTTGTATATCTTCCAGAACATCATCCCTCCCCCTTCTCTGTTGAGTTAGTCTTTCAATGTATGGTTTTTCTGTTCTAGTCTCTTTGATCCTAGAGAGCCCTCATCACATCCACTTTTATCATCAAGTAGCTCACCAGCCAAAGGAGCGGCAGCAGTTAATACATCAGCCTGCTTGTTTCCTGGCACACCTGAATGAGTTTGCATGAGTTTTGGGCACTCAGAGAGATGATGCTCAACATTTTGCAGGGATAGTTACATAGCATGCACTCTGGGGAGTGTTGTGTCTGTATTCTGTTAAGATGAATGGAATATGTAGTATTCTGAGTCTGAAGATGATGGCCTGGTCCCTCCTTGTTAGATGGTTGATGCTGTCGTTAGAATCAGGGCCAGCCATATGTCTTTAAACCTCTCTTCCTGTCTCTCCCATTGCCCATCTGTTCAACCAAGTCTCTTTGTTTGTAGCCTTTATAAGTGCATTTGCTGTCTGTAGGGTTGTCGCTGTGGGTGATTGCTCTTGTGTTGCTCCTTTCTTTGCCAGTCTGTCAGCTCTGTCGTTACTCTGGTGTGCCAGAGTGGCCTGGAATCCACTTCGTCACTATTCTGATGATGTATCAAGTAATGAGGCTTGTGTTTTTGTTGTCTACCGTGCTCGGTACATACCCCAACCCCTGTAGACAATTATGCTAGCAAGTGTTGATTAAAGCTGATTATGCATTTCCTTGTTATTTCTCATTCTCCATTCTCTAAGGTTGCATCTACGATGTGTTCCAAGTTGCTGAAGCAATATGTTTTTGATATTTAGGGTGATGTTTGGATATGCATGGAAGTCATGGATGCCTCACTAGATCAGTTCTACAAGAAGCTCAAAGCACACGGGGAGAGGATTCCAGAAAATGTGATGGGGAAGATAGCCAGATCTGTAAGTGTGTTACATTAAATGTTACCTCAATGTTTTCGGCATGCTACCAAACAACATTATATCTGTAAGTTTGTTATCCGGATAGTTTCTGTTGTGCCATCAGGTTAACCCTGTTGCTCCAAGAAGCTGCAAAACCACCACAGCTGGCTGGGTTCGATTCCTACCAGTGTCATTTCCCACCTAGTCTAAAGTGGCCTGTTTACCAGACACATAGTTAATGCTATTGGCTGAGTTCGTGCATGTGTAGGTCATGATATGAATACAGTTAACTAAAAATAGCATTAACTCTTTGAGTCCCAAGGAATGCATCATACGTTCATAGGTTCCTACCTAGAAGCCCAATGAACGCATGATGCGCCGTTTTTATTACTTTCTTTACTACCCCCTGGGCATGTGATGCTAAACCCCCTGGGACTCAAAGAGTTAAGAGGGTTTCCTTGTGAATCAAATAGATTTATTTTTTAATGGCCAAGTTGATATCAAATTTGTCTGTAAGCCTCAGTGATAAAGGTCGCTGGCTAACGGCATGTATCACCCAGTTGATACATCTTCTTCTTAAAGTCCATGCCTTGTGGCATTGGTAGTCATGTCTGTCCACAACCTTCTGTCTCGTGTACTTTTAATCAACTCTGACACAGATGATCCTCCATGCCATGATGTCAGACTGTCCAGGATCTTTTCTCTGGGTCATCCTCTGCCTCTTCTCCCCTCCAACTTTCCCACTGTCACAATTACTCCAGTTTTCTCTTTCTCATCACATGTCCAAAGAATGTAGATTGTCTCTTTCTGATGTGGGCAATCAGTTCTCTTCGGAGTCGCTTTTTATTGAGACAGCTTAATTACCCTTTTTAATATGACCAGTGTATTCTCATCATTGCCACAGGGATCACCGCTGCCACCAGTCTTATTCAACGTTTATACGGTGATGATCACTGAGCAGCAGTTGAATGGAAAGGGAAGGACTTTTGCTGATGACATTTTGATTTATCGACGAGGGCGTGATAGACAGGAGATCGCCAGCACCATGCACAAAGAACTCGATCGAATTGCCGCCTGGTGTGATGGTTCCAATGCCTATGTCAATCCTTCGAAGGCATCAGTGTCATGGTTCTCTTTGAAGAATCACATTGTCAAGTCGGACTTACCAGAAGTGAAAATGCGTGATAATGTATTGATCAGAACCAACGTTATGACGTTTCTCGGGGTGAGGTTCGATCGCAGCTTGTCATTCAGGGAACACGTTGACAATGTGATAACAAAAGCACGCAAAGGTCTATCTGCAATGAGGATTATGGCTGCTTCCAATATTGAGCAAAGACTACTAATACTTCTATTCTATGGTCTGGTCCTTTCCCCCATTGAATACGCTCTGGCCATCCTCACTGTCAGTGCTACCCAGATTGAACGACTCGAAAAGGTGCAAAATGAAGCCATGCGCATTATTTTGGGATGTACTAGAGACACATCCTGTGGAGCAATGAGGTATCTACTTGACTTTCCAACAATGAACCAAAGGATCAGGATGTGGAGGGCTCGGGCATATCTCAAAATATGTGCTGATAAGAAACACCCACTGCATCAAGCGCTTTTTAGTGAAAAGGGCGACAGACTGAAGAGGGGGAAATCGTCGGGCAGAAGATGTTATTAGGCAAATATGCAGCCTAACCGACATCATACCTGGTGCAGAATGGATACCTGTGCCTCAGGCGTTTATTTGTACATTTTCCTGTATTGTCACACTCAACAGGCGATGTAGAGAAGAGAATCCTGTTGCTGTTAATGCAGAGGTCAAGGCTCTCATCGGTGAAAATTCAGACGAAGCAGATGCAATAATCTATACAGACGGATCCGTTATACACCAAAGAAGAAGCGCATGGGCATTTACAGCACGCTCAGCGGGCAGAACAGTCAAAGAAGCCAACGGCGCCTTCTCCATGACAACCAGCAGCATGACGATGGAGGTGATGGCAGTAACGCAAGCGCTTGCCTGGCTTGAAACACAAAAATACACCCGCGTGTGTATACTCAGTGATTCAATGAGTATGATCCGGAGGGTTCAGGCAGGTTCAGTGCGAAGACAATGGCTTGAATCATTACAGAAGTCCACTGTTCGTGGAGTCACCTTTATTTTTGTTCCGGGACACGCAGGCGTCGATGGAAATGAAAGAGCTGACAGGTTGGCTGGATCCGCTATCACTACCGACGGTCAGCCTATGGATCATGCTGATATTATCAATGCCCTCAGAGAAATGGGAAGGATAGAGGACTTTGGTGGCAGTGAATCCACATCACTCGCCAGAATGGCAGACTTGGGAATTAAGATCGGCACAGCAAAAAACGAGACGCACACCAGCTACGCCAGAAGACTTGTTAATCAACATAGAACTGGTACTATTAGCCATCGGACGTTGGGGTTCATACTGAGGGGAGGATCTGAGCACCTATGGACATGTCTGGAGTGCAATGAGGATAACCCAACTAACTAACTAACTAACTAATTCTCATCATTTGTAAAACCACATCTCCGCAGCTCCCAAATAAGTTTTAACTAATTTACCAGCTGTCCATGATTCACTTCCATATATTATGATAGTATTTATAAAGCTTTTAAGAATTTTCTTTCTCGTCTGAAGTGACAAAGAAAGATTGCATAAAATATTTTGTAAAAGCTGCCTTTTCTTGAAGTTCTACATTTAGCTTCTTTTAAACATCTTTTATCTGACGTTATCAGGGTAAATTGATACATTTTTAGTTTTCTAAGGCACCAGGGAATGTAGTGCTTTACTCTGTTCATGTTTGTTGATAACTCCCTTTATATAGCAATATATATATATATATATATAGATATATTTTTTTTTTATGCAGGAACACATTTTTTTTTTTTTTAAACGAATGAATGACCTGTGTAAAATTATGTGTATGTGTGTGGGTTTTTTCCCCCAGGATTTTTTACTGGTGCAACAGTAACTTTGCTAATTGAAAACGTATTTTCTCCTCCTTCGATTATATTTACATTTAAAACTTTTTTTTCTATTCTTACATTATCTTTGCACTGAAAATATAATTCCTTATTCTTAAAGTTATTTTTATACCAAAAAAACATCTTTCATTATCCTTACACTGAAAGTACCTTCCTTATCTTTGTATTATCTTTACAAAACAAACATCTTTCTTTATGCTTACATTATTTTTACACTAAATGTCAGTTTTTATCCATAGATTAACAAAACGCTGGAAATTTTTTTCTTATCATTACATTATCTTTACACTGAAGACATTGTTCTTATCCTCTCAGTGCCATTTCCTGTAAATAAAATCTTATCTTTATATTGTCTTAACACTTTACACTCTTTCTTATCCTCACAGTGCTGTTTCCTTTGTTTTTTTTTGTGCATGCCACTAACTATAAAAATACACACATTTCTTTCTCGTTATGCATAATTAGTGGCGGTTAAAAAACACAACAATGAACTCTGCCGTCTTGCCACGGAAGTCAAGGGGGCAGGGCGAGAAGAAGATTTAGGAGATGACGTTGAGTCAGCAACACTCAAAAAACTACAAGAACTTCAGGTCAAAAGAGGTGTCGCCAAATGTGAACACTATACAGGTAGCCAAAGAAGAATATTAAACCAACATAGAACTGGTGTTATCATTTGCCACACGCTGAGGGATATACTGAAGATGGGATACGAGCATTGTGGATTTGTCTGATGTGCAGTGAGAATAATCTTTCTATTAACTAACAATGCCATTTATTTTATTTTCTCCTGTAAATAAAACCATGTTCTTACCTCTTGTATATAATTTGTTGATTTATGATTTTGACCAACAGGTGGTGAAAGCTTTGCATTATCTGCACACAGAGCTGCATGTGATCCACAGGGATGTCAAGCCATCCAACATACTCATCAACAAAGCTGGGGCCGTGAAGATCTGCGACTTCGGCATCAGCGGCTATCTTGTGGATTCCATAGCCAGGACCAAAGATGCAGGCTGTAGGCCTTACATGGCGGTAAGTCTCTGATTTGGTTTAAATATGTGTGTGTGTGTGTTTGCGTACATGTGTGTGCAATTGTATTCATGTTGCATGTAATCTGGTAATCCTAGTTTCAGCTTCAGCTTCATAGCTCCGCTCCTGTGCCAACGAAAAACACACGTAGCTCACAGTGTCATGCCATGCACTCAACTCAGAAGCTGGGCGACAAAACTATATCCTTCCAGTCTACAAATGTAGCAAAAATGCAACGGCCACCGCCTGGCAGAAGCAACAACAAAATTTGCCACAGCTAAAAAAAAAAAAAAAAAAAAAAAAAAGTGGTCGTGCCTAGCATCCAGTTTGACATGAAGCATTATGTGAGGGTTAATAAATGGTCACCCCAGCAGTACCTTCACTATAACACATGTTGCATGTGTGTGTGTTTTTGTTGTTGTTGTTGTTGCTTTGCTGATAAAAGGCAATGAAGAGGAGAGAGTGATGTATAATTTTACATATGTATCCAGTGATTTAGAATTAGTAGTACTTGAAAGTTGAAATGAGGTGTCTGAGAAAGGCTGCAGGAGTGACCAGAAGAGATCAAATCAAGAATGGGGTCATACAAGATCAAATCGGCACAGAACAAATTCTCTGTTACATACGAAGACAGCAAATCAAATGGTTTGCCCACTTAGCGAGAATGCCTTCTGATGCAATACCATGCAAGGCATATACCAAAAGAGGAGAAGGATGTAGAGCAAGAGGTAGACTAAGAACAAGATGGGAGATAACATCAGAGAAACTCTACAGCACCACGATGTGTCGAAGCAGCCAGAAGAGCATGAAGCAGGACCTTATATCTCCCTCGACACCCGAAGTGGTAAAAGATAACATAAAGAAGAAGAAAAAGAAAGTTTAAATCCCTGAATTCGTTCCGTGGCTCCATTTTGGGCAGAAAATAGTATAGACCAACTGCTCCCCTAAAAAGCATATAAAAGATTTGGGGGGTTTCCTTCAAAGTCAGAATGCATCAGCCTGAGAAGTGAGGAACCAACAGTCTGCATACAGATAAGTCAGATCTGTAAGATGGATGTACATGCGAAGCTCAAGTTCTATGACAAGACCAATGTCCAAAAGTGGACAAACAGCCAGAAATTTCCAGCACAGTTTACAGCCAGTGTATACTGTGAAGAAGAAGACTAGCAGTCCTCCTATCTATTGCTATCTCCGGCTGCTCCCTCCATTTCTTTTCCCTGTCTCTGCAAATACTTCTCCATGGGTTTTTATGTTTTCCTTGAAATTTATTGTTGTTTTTTTTTTGCTTTGTGGGTTCCAGAAGCACTATCTAGTTAGCTGTGTTGTTAAAATATTCTATTTAAAAATTATTATTTTTACACAGGTCACACTCAGACATCGTAACATTTCCATCTATAGACCAAACCAGTGTTTAACTGCAACAAGAATAATGTTAAAGACAAATGTGGCAGTGAATTGACTTGGTTACATCTCCGAGCTTTAAACAAAATGTTTCTTGTCACCCGTTCTTAACCTCATGACCCTCCTGCCAAATACCACTGTAATTAAATGGACATTTTGGTGTCCTAATTTCTAAAAAGAAAGCCATTTTCCACCAGGAAACCTTGACCTAAATGCTATTTTTAGCAGCTATGTTCATTCCTGTTCATTCTGCAATGTTGCCAAGGAAAAAAGTGAAGCAGTTTTTTTGGCATGTCTGCTTATAAACAAGTCCCTATAGCAGACCAGGAAAGGATCATTTACAGCGGCTGTGGCACAAACGTGAAGCGTTGGTTTTTGTGTTTCTCAAGGCGAGAAGGTTAATGTTTTTGATGTGCCTGAGATTCATTAATAAATGCAGATAATAATGACAATACATAGTGCCACTTTACAAAAAAAAAAAAAAAGAATAATCATGATAGGGAATGGAATGGTCAAGGATCTTCAAGGACTGAAACATATGATTATGTTATTGATGATATTTATGATCCTGTTAATATTTATATAAATGAGGATGTTGATAATGAGATTGATGACATTTATGATTTCTTCTTTAAAATAATAATGATGATTAATAATAATGAAAATCATTGTTTGTTCTGAACAGCCGGAAAGAATTAACCCAGACAATTCTGGCAATGGTTATGACATAAAGTCAGATGTATGGAGTTTAGGAATAACTATGGTAAGTTTTATCTTAAGCACTTAGAGTTAAGGAATAATAATTATTAACTAATCTGTAGCTCTCAGAGTTTAAGAATAAGAATTATTAACTGTTTTGAAGCTACTACGGTTTTAAAGTACCAGTTGTTAACTGTTGTAAAGCTACACTGTATCATAATTCACATGCTAATTACCTTCTCACATGCTAACACTTTTCTTTTTTTTTAATTTGCCTTGCTAATATTCTTTCATATACTAACACTTTTTTTTAGATACTAATAAACTTTAATGTGCCAACACTTCATATTCTGTTTCACATCTGAACATTCTTTCACATACAAATAATATTTCATACGCTCTCACATGCTAACACTCTTTTATATGCTAAAACCCTTTACATGCTACTAATCTCACATGATAACAGTCTTTCACATGCTAACCACTGTTTCACACGCTAACACACTTGCACATGCCAACTCTCTTTCACACGCTAACACTTTTCATAAGCTAACATTTTTTCACATACTACTTTCAGATGGAGCTGGCAACTGGAGAATTCCCTTATTCCAAGTGGGAGAATCCATTTCAGCAGATTAAACAGGTGGTGCTGGAGGATTCGCCAAAACTTCCAGCCAATCAGTTCTCTCCTGAGTTTTGTGACTTCATAGACAAATGGTATGTGTTTAGATTTGTTTTAAAGTCAGGTAATGCTCTCTCTATCTGTCTCTCTCTCCCTCCCTCCCTCCCTCCAACCCCCCCCCTCTCTCTCTCTCTCTCCCCCTCCCTTCCTCCCTCCAACCCTCTCTCTCTCTCTCTCTCTCTCTCTCTCTCTATATATATATATATATATATATATATATATATATATATATATATATATATATATATATATATATATATATATATATATATATAAATTTATTCATTCTCTCTTCCTCTTTCTGCCTCTTCCTTTTCTTTCCCCTCCTCTTCTATCTAACTCATCTTCTTTTTCTGATCTATTTCTCTTCTCTCTCCCACCTCTTCTTTTTACCTCTCTTCTTTCCTTCTCTACCCCCTTTTTCTTTTCTGCTCTCTTCCTCTTTTGTCTACCTTCTTCATTTTCTTTAACTCCTCTTATTTTGTCATCTTATTCTGTCCTCTTTTGCCTTCCTCTGTTAACATCTTTGTCTTCTTTTTAATATTCTCTCCTCCTCCACTTCTCTTCTTGTCCTTATCCTCCTCTGCTGTATTCTATCCTTTTTTCTTCTGTTCCTTCTCTTTTATGTTTTCTTTCTATCTCCATTTCTTCTTCTTATCCTCTAGTTTTTTAAATTTTTTGTTTATTTACTCTCTTTCTTTTACTTCTCCTCATTCATTCATTCAGTAGCATGTCCCTCCCGGAACCTCGCTGCCATAACAACCCTCCGGAAAACCTTCCTATCCTGAGCAAGATGTCCTGCACGTTCTTAAAAATCTGACCTTTGTAATTCTATCTGTACAATTCCATAATTTATTCAGTTGTTTTAGTCTTTGAAGAGCAATTGATAGTCGCCGTTTAATTTCTTTCATTGTGTCACCATTGTTGGTAACCAGTGACCCAAGATATTCGAAATTTTCCACCACTTCCAATCTTTCCTCATTAACATATATTTCCTTCTCCATGGCAGTTTTGTTTGTATGCATTATCTTTGTTTTTGCTATGTTAAGAAATAAGTTATGATTTTCACTATTTCTTTGGAGTGAGGTTAATAAGTTTTCTAAACCATTTTGTGATGTTGATAGTAATACTGTATCATCAGCATAACGGATTTCTGGTATTTCATGACCACCGATGTTTAGGGCATCATATTGTTCCTTGTTTATATCATCTCTTACATTTCTCATTATATTTTCGGCGTACAGGTTGAACAAATACGGTGACAGCACACATCCCTGACGGACTCCTTGCTTGATGCCAAACCAGTCTGATGTCTCTCCATCTATTCTGACTGCTGCTTGTTGGTCTTTATAGAGCTTACTTCTCCTACTTGTCTTAAATGTTTTCTTGCTTCTTCTTGAAAACTGGCCAGCAGTCATGTTGGTCACTGCAAAACCACAGCTGAAACAGCTTCCACACCGTTAAGATAATCTATTTCAGGTCGAATCAATCAAAATGGTCAGCATTTAATTAATGTGTGCCATATTTCAGCTTGAATAAAAGCAAACAGTTAACATTCTCTATTTCAGATTACATAAACATTGGAGAGTAAGTTAATATTCTCTATTTCTGTTTGAAGTTTTAAAAAAAAAAGAGTCAGCAGTTAGTTAACATTCTCTTTTTCAGCTCGAATTGTCGGGAAAAGACATGCAACTGTTTAACATTCTTTATTTCGGCTTGAATAAAAACAGAATCAACAGATAATATTCTCTATTTCAGGATGCATAAAAAAAAAATAAAGCGAGTTATTTCCTTTTGAAAAAACAGAAGAGTCAACAATTAGTAGTTCTATATTTCAGCTTGAATTTAAAAGAAAAATTCAACAGGCAACATTTTTTATTTCAGTATGCATAAAAACAAGACATTAAATTTATATTTTCTATTTCAGCTTGAATTTAAAAGAAAAATTCAACAGATAACATTCTTTAATTCAGTATGCAAAAAACAGGACATTAAATTTATATTCACTATTTCAGCTTAAGTGAAAACAAAATTTACAGGCGACTTTAACATTCTCTATTTTAGCTTAAGTTTTTAAAAAAAGGATTTACAGGCGACTTTAACATTCTCTATTTTAGCTTAAGTTTTTAAAAAAAGGATTTACAGAAAACTTTAACATTTTCTAAGAAAACTCTAACATTCTGAATTTCGGATTAAGTTTTAAAAAAAAATTACAAAAAAAACTTTAAACATTCTCTATTTCAGCTTAAATTTTTTTTAAAAGTTAAATAAAACTTTAACATTCGCTAAGAAAACTTTAACATTCGCTAAGAAAACTTTAACATTCTCTAAGAAAACTTTAACATTCTCTAAGAAAACTTTAACATTCTCTAAGAAAACTGTAACATTCTCTAAGAAAACTGTAACATTCTCTAAGAAAACTTTAACATTCTCTAAGAAAACTTTAACATTCGCTAAGAAAACTGTAACATTCTCTAAGAAAACTGTAACATTCGCTAAGAAAACTGTAACATTCTCTAAGAAAACTTTAACATTCTCTAAGAAAACTGTAACATTCTCTATTTCAGCTTGAATAAAAACAACAGGGAGAGGTGGAACTACTCACAGCTCCTGGAGCATCCGTTTATACAAGCAGCCGCTGCTGAAGACTTCGATATGGCTCGCTACGTGACGGAGGTTATACAGAAGTACGGAAGTCTCAACGAGAGCGCCACTTGAGGCATGTTCAGACATAGGGCGTTGATATGCTACTTTTTTGCAAGTTATCAGTTTCAAAGTAGCCAGTGTTTAATTTTGGCAAGTGAAAATGTATATTATTCCAATGGGACATCATCTCCTTATTGTCTCACACTGCATCTCGCTGTTTGTTGAAAATGTTAGATTGCTGTGTATAAATATGTGTTGCTAGAGCGTGAAGTAACAGTAAGTAATATGTACGGTAAATTGTGGTGTATAAGTCGAGTTTTCAAGCCTACAGAAATTTTGTTGAAACTGAGGGTCGACTGATATGTTGTGTATAAAATGCAAATTTTTACCATCTAGTTGTAATCAAAGAGGAGAGTACTCCTAAAAATCGCTGAAGACCACTTACTTACTTACCTGCAGCAGGTTGCCTCAGATATATCCTACTAAAACTGATTTTTTCAAACATATTTGGCTTCCCACTAAAACAGATCTTTTCAAACATATTTGGCACATTAACACAAAAATTAATAATTTATGCTATAAATCACAAACACTTTCTGTATTTCATGTGTTTATTTTAAATGAACTGTTAACTCTTCCCAAACTATGACCAGTACATGGGTTACATTTTCAATTGCCATTATGGCTGCAAAGTTTAACTGTCATATTGGCGGCCAGGTTATTCTGCAGTTCTTTTATTTATTACAACAATCACTAAAAATACACTTTCGCTGGAGTTACATCCCTTTGAATTTGTCCACCTCTTACATCCTGGAAAAGTTATCTTTAAAAGAAATTATATTTTGCTGTTGTGTCCTTTGAAACCACAGAAGGTCAAGATGATGTAGAGGACAGGTGAATTAAACTTTCTTTCACAATCCTGGGTGAAGCTGGGTAATTAGATCTAATATATAATAAAATAGAAACACAGAATCAGTATTTTGTTATGGTAAATGTCTTAGTATACAAGTAAGTGATGGGAAATTATTAAGTTTTGACACAAGTTAGCATAAACTGTAGCCTAACTTGATTTACTGATAGCCAGCCATGTTGTTTGAGGGTCAGTATTTTACAGCGGGCGCCAAACTCTGAATGTTGACCCAACAAACCTTGAGGTCGACTTGTAGGCTAAGCTTTGCAGTCATCATTTGTTGTTATTAAAGAAAATCATGAACATTAAATCTAAACTCAGTCTGCTATCTGAATATTTCTTTCAATTTAACATTGTGTTGAACAATTTTATCAGGAAAAAATGTCCGATGTAATAGTAATTTCTTGACCAGCATGCATAAATATTTGAGCTTCAAGCATCCCTCAGAAAGGCAGTTCCTTTATTTCATCAACATCACCTTATTATGAACTGTTTTTATGCCACTTAGGGTTCACAGTCTGTTCTTCCATTCCATTCTACTCTGCGCAGTCTTTTCGATACAATTGATGGAATCCAGGCCAGCACCTTGAGCCTGTCTCGTCAACTTTCACTGAAGGTTTTTCTTGTGTTTCTTCACTTTGTTTCCTATTTCCCCACCTATTTTGTGGCTCTCTGCCTCTCCTCAGGATTTGCCCAGTATACCACCATCATCTTTGTCTAAGAACTGTTGATGCTAGTGTTTGTCCAGATATTTATGTCTCTTATTCCTTATCTTTCTCCTAATTAATATTTTTTATTTTCTTATCTGAAGTTGCAGCCGTTTTACAAAACGTATGTGAAGAGAGTCTAAATTTTATATGTTTTAATTCTGTTATAGTCTAATTGTGCTTCATCTGTTAATATTCTCTAGTTTTGCATTAGTTTTTAATCTGTTATTAACTTGTGTGCTTTATCAGATGTTTAGTTGCCATATCAGATCCAAGGTTATTTTGAATATCAGCTGATGTGTGCATTTCAAGTTTTGTTGGTTTTATTTTAGTTATATCCATTCACACTGAAAACATGTATTATTATTTTTTTTAAATCTGATTTATGAAATTTTTTTAACAATCAGTCTGTACAAGTGATAGTTGTGACCTGTATCCGTATTTGACAATAATGAACCCAGATTCCATAAGCTTCCCATTTGTTTTATCACCAACATCCTCCTTATATGCTATTATTGTATTTTACGCAGAGCTTCATCTGTATCTCCATTCATATAAAATCCTTTCAGTACCACGGATGGAATCCAATCCAGCGGCTTTGGCCTCTTTCAACATTCGTTTTATGGTTTCTCTTAAACGTCCTCATTTCCTCAAGCCATTTGTTTTTCATTTCGCTGCTTGATTGGTGATTCTCTCAGAACATGAGTTTTGCATGCACATCTGTTTTACAGATCTGGCTTATGCAGACTATTGGTTCTTGGCCTCTCAGGCA